AAGGTGGAGAAGTGTTCTTGTTGGTAAAAAAAAGTGTAGGGTTATTATATTCATTGTATGCTGAAAGCAACAAAGGCATGAAAGGAAATGGATTATTGTTGTTTTGGATTTGTTAAAGGAATTAGAATGTTTTGTTTTTTTTACTTCATGGTTTTATCTGAATTTTGTTGAAGGGTTGACATTTTAATTAAACTAAATGTTTGTTTAAGAGTTGTAATTTTTTTTTTATGAAACAAAGTATTTGTTTTTTATCATGTGTATATTTTAGTGTTTACTAATTTGCACCGTCTAGCCGTTGGTACTCCGTATCTTCACGGAGAATTCAATTTCACCGGGTCCATGTCGGAGACAGCGGGGCAGTCGTTACACCATTCGTGCAGGTCGCTACTTATGCGACAAATAATTTCGTTACGTTAGGACAGTTAGAGTTACTGCCGCCGTTTACGGGGGCTTCAATTCAAAGCTTATAACACTCCTCCTTCCGACTTTCCAACACCGGGCAAGTGTCAGACTCTATACATCGTGTTACCACTTAGCAGAGTCTTGTGTTTTTAATAAACAGTCGCTACCCCCTGGTATGTGTCGCTTTCCTAATCAAAAGATAGGAGAGCACCCCTTCTCCCGAAGTTACGAGGTCATTTTGCCGAGTTCCTTCGACATGGTTCTCTCAAGCGCCCTGGTGTACTCTACTTATTCACCTGTGTCGGTTTGGGGTACGGTCAGTTCACCGGGAGGATCGACCTCCCAATTCGAAGTTTTTTCCTGGAAGTTTCAACCTTGTTGACTATGACAACAGTTGCGACTATAAACAGACTCGCGACTATGGCAGGGTGGTATCGCGAGAGACGTATTTATTTGAAAGCTCCATAATTTTTAATTGTTTTTTGTGTGCTTGTTTTAGGCAGTGTTTGATACTAGTCTGGCCGAGTCAGCTCAGACGTTTTTGGCTGACTCGGTCAGCAAAACGTGTTTGGTAGTTCAAATTTACGCATCTGGCTCGCTAAGAAACATCTGATTCAGATAGAAAAGGCAAAATAGCTGACTGAGAAAAAGGGGATACTATTCCATCTTTACCCTTGCCCTACCATTCTCTTTCATCGCCTCCATCCTCATTCTTCTCGCTCGATTCTTGCAGCGCCTCCATAGCCATAAAACAAACCAGCAAGCATCGAGAATTCTTGATATCCAGTCACCGGCGATCTCCTCCATACCAGCGCCTTCATCAACTACTTCTTCTCATCAGGTACGATTCCTTTATACCCATTCATATAGAAGATCCACATAAAAGTTTTTATTGATTTACTGTTGAAAATGGGTTCCGATTTCTACATAATTATGAGTTGCTGTTGAAAATGGGTTCCAATTTCTGCATAATAAGATCAATATATTCTTCTGATCATGCCTGAACTTCTCTAAAAGTTTCGAATTTTGCTAGATTTCTGCAGAATTTGGTTCAGAAAGTAGGCTGGAGTTAGATTTCTGCATAATTTTGTTGTTCAACTGTTATGTTCATGTTTGAACTTCTCTGAATGTTCTTAATTTTTCTGATATGTTGATGTTTGCTCCTTAATGTTCTTTGTTTCAAGTGATTTTATTGTTGAACTCTAAAGGAATATGTAAAAAGTAAAAAGAAAGCCACTTTCTTATATGTTGATTTGGCTTTGAGAATTGGATCAATTTTGTTGTTTTTTAGGAATACCACATACATATATGAGGGCAAAATGGTCATACATAACTGTTGATAAAGTTATGAATATTTATGTGTTAGGATGTTGGTTTGGAACAAGTACGAGGGCAAAATGGTCATTTTTTATCGGTTAGCACATCCAGTCAGATGTAGAATCAGACAACATGGTTTCTTACTCAGTCAGAGTTTCTTACTCAGACATACATTTCTCAGTAAGCAACTTTCAAACGGGACCTTAGTTTTTATAATTCATAGCATTTAACTATCTATTATTTATTTATCTATATATTTATTATAATACATAATTTAATTCAACCATATTTATTTAAAACCTCAATAACTTATACTTCTTTTTTAAAATCATGCATTGAATTTATTTAATTGAAACCTCAACCTATTTTTTTAATTGAAATCCCAAACTAACAAAAAACCGAAAAAAGTGGTTTATATATATATATATATATATATATATATATATATATATATATATATA